AACCACATATTTTATGAGACCTTGCAACTTTTATCAATTTTTCAATTACACATACCATCAATTCTTATTATCATCTACTAAAACTTTTACCAAAAACTTTGTCAAACAACCCCTTAATTTAATTATTAATCATGTTTCACTGTAAATGTTATAGATTCTCATCACTCATCTCTTATGCTGGTCTTAACTAAATTTGCTCAGCATCTGCATCTTATGTTTCTTGTTCTATTCCAGTGAAGATGTGCGGTATTGGTATGAGCTGACTCATTAGGATATTCACAATAATGGATGAAAAATCCTTCATCTTTATAGCCTCTTAAATTATTAATCTGATTACCTATGAGAAAATGCCATCGAGAGGTTTTGGAAGGATGCGAAAGATTTTGAATTGAATAGATTTAACAAGAAATGAAGCAGAAGTATGAGGGTTCTGACTTTCTGTCAAATTCATTATTCTTTTGGTATAATTTTACCACAACAATATTGAATGTATGAACTTTAATTTAGAATATCTGCTTTTTCTATTTGGATCCTTCTTGATGACACTGTCATTTCCCTCCTCAATTGCCCATTCCTTGAACACTATATTTAGTCTACTGCACTGTTCTTTTCCTCCCTTTTTTTTTATTTTATTTTTTTACCAGCTATATGGTTTGGTGAAACTGATGTTGGGTAATCAGATTTTACTATGCTTGTGGTTTCTATTGCAGCAAAAGCTCTGCAGTATCTGCATAAGCTCGGAATTGTACATAGGGATCTGAAGCCGGCAAATATTCTTGTAATATGTTTAATTCTGTTGCATCTGATTACAGCATGTTCCTGCATTTTTTTATTTTTTTTTTGAGAGTACATTCTTCTCCGAGCAAGTAATTTTATGGTTATCTTTCTTTTGGGCATTGTGTGATGTTGTGCATTGTTCTGCTGCAGCTTGACAAACATCTGCGTCCACATCTGGCAGACTTTGGTTTGGCCGAATACAAGATAGATCTTAAACAAGTTTCTACTGAAAATTGGAAATCATCTGGCAAGCCAACTGGTGGTTTCCATAAAAAGAATATGGTTGGGACGCTGATTTACATGGCACCAGAAGTATTGAGGAAAGAGATACATACTGAGAAGTCCGATGTCTACAGTTTTGGAATATCTGCCAAGTAAGTACTTGCAATATATAGCTTTCTGGTTTATATAAGTATGAAAGGCAACTGCTGTGCTGTAGATGTACCTGCCCTGAATTTTTAGTAGCAATCAATCTTTTGGAGCAAATATTTTCATAGGAAAACGGTTGTATGACTATTGACTTGTACTTAATAACTTGACTTGCATAATGACTTTGTCACTTTTGAATGTTTGTTAATATGGTGGACGCCCAGTGTGAGCTGTTGCAAAGATCAAGCTTTTTCTACTTTATATGGAACTATATGATTGGCTTTGACCTGGCTTGTTTACACCATCATTATAACTTTATACGGAACTATAGATTGGTCTGGAAACTAGCAGGATCCTTTACATTTCAATCCCTTGCTGTTGACATCCATTCTGAAAGTTGTGCCTCCCGCATGGTCGGCAAAGATAATTTTTAGCCATGAATTAGAAATTGAAGAGAGAATATTGTTTCCACGCACATAACGCGCATTTGTTTTAATATATTCATTTGTCTCTTAGAGTTGAAATCTTCTCTTCTATATATAGATGATGCATTAAACACGTGATATGTATTTGATGGAGAAGCATATCAATCCATTCATTTGGAGTTTTATTTGAACTAAGTAAATTAACCACCTTCGATTCTTAACACCACTTAATGAATTGAATCCCCATAATTACCCTGATAAATGTTGCTTTCTTATAACTGGTATAGGTGAGGGAGTTATTTGTTTTCTTTAAGTCTTTGGGGTTAACTTAAAATCTCTTTTACCTTTGAGTGAATAATTAGGGACCAAGGCTGGCTGTAAATGGGCAAATACTAATGAATCCAGAATACCAAGCTGAGTTGAACTTATGATGGCTGTGCTCAATTAAGCCAAGTCGGTGCTTGGACTTGATGTTCTAGTTCATCACAGGAGTACAAAATGTTTTTCATGTTTCATGTTTCATGTTTCGTGTTGATCTTAGTCTCATCTTCTCAGAAATGAAATCATATGGAAAGCCTATTCCTGTGGATGTAGAACTCTAAGTTTTGTATACAATCCAAATTTGCACATATATTTCCTTTAGATAATATGATTTCTGCAAATGATCTGTCATAAATCTTCATTCAATATTCAAAAAATTGACGGGACAAGGATGAATGTTGAGAAGCTCAAGCATTCGATGGATGATATAAGCTCAATGATGAATGTCAACATCTTAGCTCAACATCAAAAAAGATGGGCAGCGAAGATTCATCTCAATGAATTTTAAGAAGCTGGTTGATGTATCTCCACATTAGGCATCGACTTTAAAGTGAAACCTCATTGTGTAGAAGCAATTAATGCAATCAATATTTAAATTTTACAATATTTTTTTCATGCAAGATTCTCAATGTCCACCATTCAGTTTCTTACAAGGAATGGCCATCATCTTTCATTTTTAAAAAAAGAGAATCTATTAATATTGAAATGATTTTTATTTTTATTTTTTGTTTTTTATCAATAAAGGATTAATCTAATGTCCTTTAAATTTATTGGTAATAAGAGTAGTTTCTTTTTTATTTTTTATTTTTTATTTTTTCGTTGCTGTTGCTGGGGAAGGGAAAATAACGAGAGGATATACTTTCAAAACGATTATAGAATGCAAAAAATATAAAGAAAATTGTGGAAGACAACTCTAGTCCCAAGTGAACCCTAGTTGTCTTTGTTATTTAATAGACAACTCTATATCAATACAACCAATGTTTTTATCATTGCGGTAGCTGGGAAGCTCTGGAATAAAGTATCTAGTGTTACCAATGATGTCTATTTGATGACTTTATTTGGTTTTATATATTCCGTTTTGGTAGGATTAAGGCATGAAGCTTCACATAAATGTGCTTGTCTTGAAGCATTTTCTGTAATGACCATTTAGCATAATAATTGTATCTGGTCGGGCCTACATTAGCTAGCAAAATATACTTTTGCCATGCAATCTCATTGATAGATGGAGATGTACAAATTGAACAAAATTAATTGATTCCTAACAGGAAGTGGACACAAGAGTCTCATAGTTAAGGAAAGCCTATATGTTGAATATTTTTTGTATCAATATTGACTAGAATTTTCACTTCTCATAAATTTGGAAGCAAGAAAAAAGGAAATGGAATATCTAGTTTCAATCTCCAAATAAAAGATTTTGGGCAAGTTAGCTATAAGCATACAGGCAGTGGTCATTGAAGGTTATTTTAATTCCATATGTATTTCCTTGATAGCATAGTGACTGTTAAACATTTGTACTCAACTTTGCTTCAAATTACTGTCCAGCTGTTCGGTTGCCATGGATGTGTTATGTCCAGAGAGAGATAGTTATAGTGCCAACTTGGACCTTTATATCATTACCTTTTTGTAGGTGCAAGATGAAATATTTTCCTATCTTGGAACTACAAAATGTTTTGTGAAGGAAAGAATGAATTTAATGATTGGTCAGATGTACACGACTCACACTCTGCATAAATGCACATATATGTATATACGTATGTATACGTATTTTGTGTATGTATGTGCACGTAAGCACTTGAACACACCCAGGGTAATGCATTCATGTCAATTCACGTGTATGTGGTAATGCATCTACTCATGTATGTATGCACATGAGGTAGTTATTTATGGGTGTTTATTTAGGAAGTTTTTACTCATGTCTTGAAGCATTCTCATTGAAGAAGCACTAAATGAGGATCTGATCATTTCCATATCACATTTTGATCTTCATCTACAAGGAAAATTGAGACAGACAAATTTGGTAATTTCAATGTAACAGAGTTGGTGGAACTCTGCTCCTTTTGATTAGAGGATTAATTGTTGACTATATTATAGCACCAATGAAATTTAAGATTCTAAAACCTGTCTATATGTACTAGACATGTGACTATTAGATCCTTGAGTATATTGCCTAGTGACCGCTTGGGGTATCAACGTCAAGGTTGTTTGAACAGGAATTTGGTAGATAATGGATTTTTTGCCCAGTTTACTCATGACAGCATCCTTGGTTTGAGTAATCATCTCCTTCATTTTTACCTTTTACCAAGCCAACTTGAAGATTTGCCCTAAGCTTGGGTTGAAACCTTGACAGTGCTTTTGACTCATTAACAAATAATGCTAATCTGGAAAATCTTAAACTGGGTTTCTGGACGTGACCGTGACCGTGACCGTGACCGTGTTTCTGAATACTGATTTCTTGTTTACATGCTCCCTGGTACACACACGCAATTGTGTATGTTTATATTTTGGTTTCCACATGAAAAGGCAAAAACATTTTGAATTATTTTCTGTTTCATATTTTTAAACTAGACATTCGCACATTATTATTTTATTTTATTTTAATTTTTTTTTTTGGTGGGAAATAAGCCATAATTTTACTTTACTTTTGAGCAGAAGAAAAGGCTAGAATTTTTCGTGGAAATAGCACCTGCTTTAGGCTTTTGTTTATCCTACACTCATTGAAATGCAAAAATAGTCAAGTAAACTTATGAATGCTACACGAATGTAATGAATTTTTATTACCTTTAGAATGTCAACTTTACGTCTTGCAGTGCGAATCTATATAACATGGCCAATGATCTTTATTATGTGACTGTTAGAGTTTTTTTCTCTTTCATTTTCTCTCTGGCCGCCTCCATTTTTCTTAAGGTAACATACTTGGATTAGACTTGGGAAATTGAAATCTTAGATGTTGCTATGTCTAGTTCACGCAATACTTTTCTACCACGATTTGAACAATCTCTCTTAATATTGAATCCTAAATGTTGATGTTGTTCATGGCTAACTCGAGTTCTTTGATTTGCAATGTTGATAACACATAAAATTGTTTTCATTTGAAGCGTAAACAGTTCTAACTGAAATTAACAATAATTTATTTAGAACATAGTAGTTTTTTTATCCTTGGCCCATATCGAGCATTTGTACTTGTGTACATTGCAGCGAGCTTCTCACTGGTGTAGTCCCATATACTGATCTTCGAGCTGAGGCACAGGTTACTCTTCCTTCTAATCATTGGTTTCATTTTGTTTTCTCTTACCTATAAATATTGCTCTGTGCTTCATATGTTATTTGCTGGGTGGTACCAAGAACGCTATCAATTTACCAAGAAACGAAGATGAATTTCCTAGTATCTTTTTTCCTTTTCATCATTCACTCAAATAAAGATTAAGTTTCTGAAAAAATAGCCAAGTCATGAAATTCAAAACTTGAAGCTACTAGCTAAGATTGCCTATCATTTTTTCAAGAGCTTGCTACAATGCTTTTGTAGGGGGGAATTTGTTGCGAGTGATCTTCTTCAAGTTAGGGTTATAATGAAAAATAAATGAAATTTCAATGACCGTTTGAATTAACCAAGTTGTTCAGCACCCATTTATCTCGGTGGAAGGAATACGTTCAAGTCTCATAATCCAAGAAAACTAGCTTGTAGCCTCTATATATCATAATGACAAGTACTTGTGTGGAAATTCAGGACACTTGTTTTTGAGTAATCGATCTTCCATAACTGAAATTATTAAATCATAACAATTTATCATGGCTGTCCATGATACATGCTGATTGCAGGCCCATACAGTCTTGGAAATGAACTACACCGAACAGCAACTTACAGCAGCTGTGGTGTCTGAAGGACTACGACCTGTTCTTGCTGGTCTGGAGTCTGGTGCTTCCGCCAGTTTACTATCTCTAATTCAGAGATGCTGGGATGCGGATCCTGAAAATAGACCTTCTTTTGCTGATATAGTTGTGGAACTTGCTCTAATATTGGAAAGTGAAGATCGAGTAAAGGAAGGGGAAGCTGGCTTTTCTGAATCTCTTGTATCTCATGAAAATTTGGATATAGCTAATATGCAAAGTTATCAAGAGAGTATTAACTGGTTTACCCATGGTAAAGATTTTTCGGAAAGGACTTCTCTACCCTCTAATGCAGCAAGCACCTGGATTGATTCACCAAATGATCCTTCTTCATACCATCCAGTGCTATCTTGGGGTTCCTTCTCTACTTGCGGGAGAAGGGAAACCATGGAGGACACACACTTTCTGATACCCCAAATGTGCAATCAAAAGAATATCCATTTATTTGGAATATTTGACGGTCATCGAGGTATGAGCACCTTCCAGTGAAATGGTTTGTGTGGGACCAGGTTTTAAGGAGAATCATAGGCGTTGATGACACTCTGTTCTATTGTTTTTTGAAGGATGGAAGATTAAGGGGTTAGAATTTGAAATGTCTCCTTAAGAAAAGAAGATAACTTATGTCTGTCCTCTAGGTTTACCTGTAAGGAACCTGGTTTGCAGCAATATCCCTAACATGTCATTTTAAAAACGTACTAGTGAGGAAGAACAACCAGGAATAGTCAAGCCTTCCTTGGTTTGGCAGGTCTAAAGTTAAACCTCTTAATTCTCCCCTTTTTTCTCCTTTCCAGAATACTATAACAGAAGGTTTGTCCGTTCTCTTCCCAGCTATGTAGATCAGCCCAAATATTCCATAACAAGTTTTTGCATCTTTAGCTCAATGTGATGCAATTCACAATAAGTGCACTGTTAAAGTCTATTATCTTTTTTCCCTTCTGTTTTGAAGCTAGTCTACTACCTGTTTCAGTGTCTTCTCTTTCCTTCTCTCTGCTGCCAAATATATCATTGGCTTTAAAAAGAGGTTGTTTAGTCCTCACGGATCTAACTCATGAATTTACTCGTACATTCTGTCCAAAAAATTCAATAGAAAAGAGAAGTGTTGTAGGAAATAGAACCATTGGATTTTTTATGCTGAAGAATAACGCTTGGAATCAGACATGTTTCATTTTTAAGATATCCTTTCTTCGGATGGATGGATTGTCTTCTCTTTAAAAAAAAAGGGAAAAGGAAAAGAACAGTTTGAAATGGATAGTTTTCATGAGATTATAGTTAATGCTTATAAATTATAAATAGCAATCCTGTTTCATTTGTATAGGTGGCCGTATGACTGCATGGTTATATATAAAGGGAAAAGAACAATAATTATTTTGTTCTTAGAAATAATTGTCCAGTCTGAGTGACTTGAATTCTGCATTAGTTGCACTAGATTACACTCATAAACTCCTAAATGACGTGCAGGTGCAGCTGCTGCTGAGTTTTGTGCCGGGGCTCTACCTGGGTTTTTGCAAAATTTGGGTTCCTTGATCAGGTTTTCTCCTACTAATAATGTTGTAGTCTACTTATAAATCTATATTCATGTAGGTAAATGACTGAATATCTTCGTGCTTAAATAAAAACAAGATTCTCACATATTCATCTTTTACCTCTGCACAGTCCCTCTCATGCGCTGCTTGAAGCATTTGTTAAGACTGATTTAGCATTTAGGAATGAACTAGATTCTCTCCGTAAATCCAAAGGTGTTATTCAGAAAGACTGGCACCCTGGTTGTACTGCAATCACTGCTCTTATAGTAGAAAACAAATTATTTGTTGCTAATGCTGGAGATTGCAGAACAATTCTGTGCCGAGCAGGACATCCCTATGCATTAAGTAGGGTGAGATGCAAATTAACTTTTTAGCCAGATCTTCTAACAGAATGAGAACCTTATGATTGTATGTTGTCTTATTTTTCTCTAATTTATAAGCGTTGTGCCTGCTTACTGACTGAATGACCATGAGTAGGATCATGTGGCAAGTTGTCTTGAGGAGAGAGAACGGGTTATTGATGCAGGTTGCCAAGTCAAATGGCAAGTTGACACGTGGAGGGTTGGTCATGCTGCTCTCCAGGTTATTCCTTTTTTCAATTCGCAATTCTTTTATCCTCTGTTATATGATAAACTTCTGAAAATGATGAGCATGTTCGGAATGCTTATATATTGTACTTGTAATGAGAGAGAATAAGTATGTCTCCTTACTTATAAGAGATAAGAAAGCATCCAAACATGCTCGATGTCTTCTACTCATTGATCTTTAGAATTCCTAATTTATTGCTTTAAACTGATTCTTTACTTGGCATTTTCTTTTCATTATCATGTGATTGCTTAATAAACATTTATCTTTTACATCGAGTATTAACTAATCTACATCTTCTTTCATTGGTTTTGATAATATGATGACATTGTCAATTGTATCCAATTTCTAAATACAGCCTGCTTTGCCTTTTCTGTGTTATGTTTCCAACAGCTCACAGAGATCTGCATGTGCAATGGAAAATAATTCAACTAACATTGGAAGCGAGTAATAAAGAAACAAACATGCTTATAAGGATGTATAGATAATTTAAGATATACTTGTAAAAACTCGATACTTTCTCTTTTTTACCTTTTTCCCCCAAAATTTTTTCCCATTATGATTTTATTGGCTAGCGAAATATTCAAACTTGGACTTTGATGGCCTCTTGCTCATGATAATGTGACAGTATTGGTAGTCAACGGAAAATTGTAAAGATTGTTACAACACATTGAATTGCTCCAGGTTACTACTCATGATAATGTGACAGTATTGGTAGTTAATGGAAAATTGTAAAGATTGTTACAACACATTGAATTGCTCCAGGTTACTATGGGGTTGCTACCGATTTAGCCCCTGTTTGGTGGCCTTTAAACTTAAAAAACTATGTTTTGAATAATATTTTTTGGAGAATATGTAGTTAGGAAATATTTAAGGTTCACGTATATAATATTTTTATTTTATGAATGTATGGTTGAAAATGAGTATGAAAAATAAATTAAAGGTCACCAGGGGTTTGAAAGATTCTAGAATTTCATAAAATTGCTTACAGAAAGCTTCAATTTAACAAGTTATTTTATCGGTCACTGTATTAGTTGCTTCAAACTTTGTCAACGTGTTTGGTTTGTAGGATTAGTCTCAACTCATGAATAAGATTTTAATTTCTTTTTCTTATTTAAAGCATGTTTGAGCCTCATTTCTTGCCCAAAATACATATTGGAATAATATTTTGAAAGGGAATGTTTGGTTAAAAAATAAGAAAAAGTTTTGAGTTTGCTTGTAATATTATTTTATGGAAGAATGTGTGATTGAAAATAAGAGTGAGAAAATTTTATTTTGAAAATAATGGGAACCAAACATTAACTTGATGTTGTATAATTCTATTTAATACTTTGTATCAAACATGCACTAAATATTTGCCTAATGAAGCATGTGAGTTAAGCATGCACATTTAGATTATACACTTGGACATTAGTAGCAAGTGCATGCAACTTTTTACTTGGAAATTGTGATTGTCATCTCCTAAAATTTTAGAAAGTAGTGCTTCGATGCTACTTCAACTAATTGTTTTCTTTTAATAGGTTACGCGCTCTATTGGTGATGATGATTTAAAGCCTGCTGTAACTGCAGAACCCGAGATAACTGAGACCATACTATCGGCCGAAGATGAATACCTAGTAAGTTTCATATAGCTACTTTATCAAGGTGTATGACATTTATTTGGTATACCAATGAATACAAATATCGAAAATGTGCTGCTTTCCAAAACTTACAGTATAGACATGAGTTGTTTTGTGTTTGATATTTTAACTGTTATTGAAGATGTTTGTCTTGAATTTTTATGTACTCTAAAGGGTTTTGTTTGTTTGAAAGACCGTTTGGACAACCATCTAATTTTCTATTATAAGAAGTAATGAGTATAATTTCCAGGTAATGGCCAGTGACGGCCTTTGGGATGTTATGAAGAATTCAGATGTTGTAAACATAATAAGAGACACTGTGAAAGAGCCAGGAATGTGCTCAAAGAGATTGGCAACTGAAGCCGTTGAAAGAGGTAGCAATGATAATATCACTGTTATCGTGGTTTTCTTGTGTTCGGTATCTACAGCTGAGAGGATTTACTAGATTCTGAGTACAACTCGCCCGATGCAAATTCTCATATTAGGAAATGGAAACATGGCGATTCTTTGTAGAATTATTGGTACACATACGTAAATGTATTCATTATTTTGTCATTGATTTGGTGCATTGTGATATGATTTGAAGCATTAATTTGTTCATTATGGTGTCTTAGTTGGATTCAAATTGTTGGTTGGCTGTATGATTCTTTTTTGGTGACTATTCAATTTATTGTATGATTCTTTTTTCTTAATTTTATTCTATTTATTGTTAAATATGCTAGAATGTATTAAATAATTAGATTATTAGCAACTACAACATATTGTGCTTGAAAAAAGAAACATCATGCTCCTATTTGTGAGCATTAAAATTAGATTTTTAGTAAATTTTGACAAAAAGTGGATGATATGTGTGAATGAAAAGTTGTGAGCCTCATGAAATATATGAGTAAAATTAATTGTTGATTTTAATTCAAATTAAAATCTAGATTTTAAACGTTACGAGATAGGGACTATATTTGAGTAAAATGTATTGTGTTTCGACATTAAATTATAAGTATTGTGTTTAGGCATTAAAAAACAATATTTTGAAAATTAGATCAGATCGATTAGTTGGGTTAAAATTAAGAATTAGTCTCATTATATCATAAACATTTTGAAATGAAAATCGTTTAAATTAAGTCAATAAGTACTCAAGATTTAATTGTTTCTTTCAAAAAAAAATAAATAATAATAATTGTAACCCGTCTATTCTCGATTAATTATGTTTGACCATTTATCTTTTTGTAATTTTATTTTTGAGGCAATTTTCAGAATGTTGTTAAAAGGATGTGTAGATTGAAAATTTCCCAACTTTGTTCTTAATTAAAAGCATGGCTGGGATCGACTCTGATTATCTATATATTTTTTGTAAATGAGTGATTAAAAATAAAAAGTTAAATTTACTTGCAGCTCATTGTGAAAGGCTGGTTGCTGGATCCCCTTCATTCTAATGAATCATGTGCCAAAATGTCACAAGGAGTAAAACTTGATGCGATATAACGTCTGTACCAAATCAAAACCCTTCATAATATTCACATTTTTGCAATTTCTGTTCTAATAATAAATAAATAAAACGGACAAAAGATACTGCGTTAGAGACCCATCTGAATTTAGGGTTTCATCTCAAAAAATTTTACACGCTGAGTGTGTATATTTATAAATTGTATATGTGTTTCTAGGGTTTTTTTTGCTCCCTAAGTTGTTCATTTTGAGCAGTTTACGGAAATGGCTGGAAAAACGGTGATCTCCGACGACGAAGGTAAAATTTTTGGGCGAGTACTCGTATTTCGGAGTTGGAAATCGAAGAAATTTTCGATTTTTTTGTTCGAAATTGGGAAATTTATGTGTAATATATGTATTTTGGTAAAAGCAGATGAGGTTGAAGTGTACGAAGAAGAGAGAGATAATGAACCTGATGGAGACCGAGTCCAGGGCCGCGATGACGATGATGAGGAAGATGAAGAAGATGGTACAGGCCCTGTGATTTTGCCATTTTCTTTCGAAAAATTTATATTTACTTGTGTAATGTTTTAGTATTATTATTACTATTATTATTGGTTGAATGTGTGGTTGTAGGCCTATATTTACATATTAGGCTTTGATCTTAACTTGAAATTGCAATTTGGATCAAGTCATTTATGCGGCTTTCTCTTGCACGCAATTAAAATTGCAAATTTTTAGGTTTTCTACTTTCTATTGATTTCTGGATTTTTTATGTGTTCCTATTATATTTTCTTAGGAACTAACTGTCATTGTAGTTGAAACTATGGTGGGTTTAATTTAGACGAGTTTTATTCTGTGCTATTTTTAACATCTGTTCTCGGCCTTTTATTCTGTGCTATTTTTTGGTTGAACAATTTTCTGTATGGTGGTGTTTCTGAGCAGAAGAAGGGCAGGATGAATATGAAAAAGATGGGTTTATAGTGGATGATGTCGAGGACGAAGAGGAAGTGGAGGAAGAAGATAGAGCTGACAGTGGCGAGGAGAGGCAGAAGAAGAAGAAAAGGAAGAAAAGGTTATTTATTCATATATTGTTTATATTTTCTGTTCTCATTTATGTTTACTGTGAAAGAATTGAAGAATGAATCTGACTTTATAAACATTGATTGAACCAATAATAGAGAGTCAGAATATATGCTCGACGAGGATGACTACGAGCTTCTTCAGGAAAGCAATATCTCTGTTCCTCGTCCAAAACTTGTATGTTCTATGAGTGCATTCTTTGGTGGTTTTTGTGAAATTTAGAGTTGGTGGTTCTGTTAAATTTGTAAATTTTAATTATTTGCATTTTGCTAAAACTGACTAGGAGAGCAAGAAGTTTAAGCGACTGAAAAAAGCTCGGAGGGATACAGAGGAAGACACCTCTGGGTTTTCTGATGAAGAGGAGTTTGATGGAAGTGGAAAAGGAGGACGATCAGCAGAGGAGAAGCTTAAACGCAGCTTGTTTGGTGATGATGATGGTATATTTCATTCAAATTGTCCTTCATTAGTATTTTCTGTTTGCTAACAATTTATCTGGATACGTCTGAAATACTCTAGGACAACCGCTCGAGGATATTGCTGAGGAGGATGAACAGCTTGAAGAAGAGGATGCAGACATTGGGGAAGAGGATGAAATGGCTGATTTCATTGTTGATGAAGAAGAAGTTGATGAACATGGAGCTCCAGTCAGGTATATCATCATCTTGGACGTCTGCAACACATGGCTATATGATTTATTTTCTGAACTATACGTAATGCAGAAGGAAGAGGCCCAAAAAGACTAGGCAAACCCCTGGGATCTCATCATCAGCTCTGCAGGAAGCGCATGACATATTTGGTGATGTCGATGACCTTCTGAAGCTTCGCAAGAGAAGTTTAGCAATTAGGGGAAGGCATGAAGATTATGGTGAATGGAAGGAAAGGAGGCTTGAAGATGAATTTGAACCTGTTATTCTCTCTGAAAAGTATATGACTGAAAAGGATGACCGGATTCGGGAAATAGACATCCCCGAAAGAATGCAGGTTTTCTATATTTTGAAGAATACACTTATCTACCTGGTTTTCAATACTGCTGTCATGATTATGATGCTTCCCCTGTTCTTTGTAGATTTCCGAGGAAAGTACTGGTCCTCCACCTACAGATGAGTTGAGTATAGCAGAGGAGAGAGACTGGATATATAGTCAGCTCGTCTATGGTGCTGTGCCTCTGTTTAACAAGAGGGGCACAACCACCGAGGAGCTGAATGAACTATCAGTAATCAAGGATGACATTGCGAGATTTCTGGAATTAATGCATGTACAGAAGTTAGATGTAAGTATCTTTTACCAACCGGTGTTTTCTTCGTTAGGTGCAGATGAACTCTGCAGTTTGAGTAATAATTCATTCCGCTCTATCATTAGGTTCCCTTTATTGCTATGTACCGGAAGGAGGAGATTTTGAGCCTATTAAAGGATCCAGATCAGCCAGAAACTGACATTGAGAGCCTAAATGATCCTAACCAAAAACCTAGACTAAGGTGGCACAAGGTAGAGATCAGAAATTTGATTTGCGCATTAGATTTTTAATGTTGAACTTCTTATGTACCTGAGAAGATTACTTAGATATGGTTTTGGAGTGGTGTGCTGTAGGTTCTTTGGACAATCCTGGACTTGGATAAAAAGTGGCTTCTTCTTCAGAAACGGAAGAGTGCCCTTGAGATATACTACAACAAGCGCTTTGAGGAAGAGTCACGCAGAGTATATGATGAGACACGGCTTAATTTGAACAGGCAGCTTTTTGAGTCAATTACAAAGTCACTTAAGGCAGCTGATTCAGAAAGAGAGGTTGACGATGTTGATTCAAAATTTAACTTGCATTTCCCTGCGGGTGAGGCTGGTGCAGATGAAGGGCAGTTCAAGAGGCCAAAGAGGAAATCACAGTACAGCATTTGCAGTAAGGCTGGCTTATGGGAGGTTGCGAACAAGTTTGGCTATAGCTCTGAGCAGTTCGGGTTGCAGATATCTCTGGAAAAAATGGTATATGTTTGTTTTTCCTTCTGATTGTACCTGTCTTAAACTGGGAGATTGAGAGTGATTGTAAATTTTTTTTGCAGAGAATGGATGAATTGGAGGATGCTAAGGAAACACCAGAAGAAATGGCTTCCAATTTCACTTGTGCGATGTTTGAGACTCCCCAGGCTGTGCTTAGAGGTGCTAGACACATGGTATGCTGATAAATCTGTGATATTTGCCATAATTTGGGTGATTCTTACAGGATCTTCGGTATACTTATTAATATTTAACTTTACCTACCAGGCTGCTGTTGAGATTAGCTGTGAACCATGTGTACGCAAACATGTTCGTAGTATCTTTATGGAAAATGCTGTGGTGTCAACAAGCCCTACACCTGATGGAACTGTTGTAATTGATTCTTTCCACCAGTTTGCTGGAGTGAAGTGGTTGCGGGACAAGCCACTTACTAGATTTGAGGATGCTCAGTGGCTTCTAATTCAAAAGGCTGAAGAGGAGAAGCTTCTGAAAGTTACCATTAAGCTACCAGAACCTATCCTTGATAAGTTAATAAGTGACTCTAACGATTATTATCTGAGTGATGGTGTGAGTAAATCTGCTCAACTGTGGAATGAGCAGAGGAAACTGATCCTTCAAGATGCGTTTTCTAATTTTCTTTTACCTTCAATGAAGAAGGAAGCAAGATCCCTATTGACTAGTAGAGCAAAAAACTGGTTGCTTTGGGATTATGGAAAGCTTTTGTGGGACAAAGTTTCTGTTTCACCATATCAACGAAAAGAAAATGATGCTAATTCTGACGAGGAAGCTGCACCCCGGGTTATGGCTTGTTGTTGGGGCCCGGGAAAGCCAGCAACAACTTTTGTGATGTTGGATTCATCTGGAGAAGTTTTGGATGTTCTATATGCAGGATCCCTCAGCCTTCGTGGTCAAAATGTTAATGATCAGCAACGTAAGAAAAATGATCAGCAGCGGGTTCAGAAGTTTATGATGGACCACCAACCACATGTTGTTGTACTTGGAGCTGTGAATTTGTCTTGTACAAGGCTGAAGGAGGATATTTATGAGGTATTCGTTATTTAACTATTTCTCATCATTGATAAATGTCACCTTGGATAGTGAAACTATTATTTTCCTTTGGGAACTCTTAATGCCATGGGATTCATGTGATGTTGCTGTTAAGGGAAAATTCCATCATTGATAGTTTT